GGCCGGGCGCGGGCTGCCGCCGTGTCCCGTGCCCTGAGCGCCTCTCTCGGCAGGGGGCCCGGCGGCCCCGCCGCCCGCGCAGCGTCACCTCTTCAGCGACGCGGCCGAGGTGGGCGCCGTGCGGAGCGCCCTGCTCGCCTGGTACGACTCGTGCAAGCGCGAGCTGCCCTGGAGGGCGCTGGTAAGGGCGGCACCGGGAGGCGCCTGCGGAGCCTCGGCAGCTTGGGAACGGGACGGGTCTTGGCTGTGGGGTTGCGCTTCTAGCCGAGCGCGGCTCTTTCCTGACGGGTCATCTGTAGCCAGCCCCTCTGCGAGCAGTAGAGGAGGGTATAGACAAAGCCAGCAAGAGGACAGCGGTTTCTTAAGTGCAGCTGTTGAGGAGATCTTTCCTTCCACAAACAAAGAGATCTGTGTCACACGGCTCCCAACGCTCTGTTTTCGCGTTTCAGGCTGCGAATGAGCCCGATGTTGACAGACGGGCGTACGCAGGTGAGGAGCAGGGACCGCGCTGGGGGCACTGAGAGGTTCTTCTGGGTTGCTCCATGACCTGGGTGCACGATACGGATTGTGAGGAACCAGAGGGTTTGGTCAGCAGCCTTCAAACAGGCAGCCTGGTCCTTTGAGGTGGCCACGAGAGCTCCAAGCCCCACAAGCCAGACTCTGTTGGGGGGTCTGAGGCCCAGCTTTGGGTTCCAGGGGGCTCTGGTGGGACAGCAGGTGGGGAGGAGGCGGTTGGGAAGGGGCCCAGCGAGCCGGGGGCTGCTGCAGTGCTCGGCACTGCCAGGGCTAACGCGCCCGCGGTGTCCGGCTTCACCTGGTGTCGGTGTCGGCGCCCCTGCTCCGCGGCCGGCGCTGCTCGCTGCAGTGTGGGTGTCCGAGGTCATGCTCCAGCAGACGCAGGTCGCTACCGTGATCGACTACTACAACCGCTGGATGCAGGTGACTGCTCCCGCGCTCGGTGCTGTGCTGAGAGCTCCCCGCTTGGAGATCTGTCCCGCTGCCTGCGGCACATCCCCGGCTGCAGGTCCCTTGTGCTTGCTCCTCACTTTTCCCTTCACTCCCTATGGCAGAAGTGGCCGACGCTGCAGGCTCTGGCAGCCGCTTCGCTGGAGGTGAGCGCTGCCTGGGGCTGGGCTCTCCCCTGGCCTAGCGCCCGTCCTGCTGACCCCCTAACAGCGAGCGTGGCGTTTCTCCCGGGGCAGGAGGTGAATGAGCTGTGGGCTGGACTCGGCTACTACTCGCGAGGGAAGCGGCTGCAGGAGGCAGCGAGGAAGGTGCCTGCGTGTCGGGGTGCTGGGGGCTTCCCCAACGCCTCTGCAGCCCGGAGGGTCGCACGCAGCCTGCGTCCCGGGGCTGGGTGCTGCTGGCGCCCATGCGTGGAGCTGCAGATGGGGCTCCCTCTGTGTCATGGGCACCGTGCGCGTCCTGGCTGCCCCCCAACCCTGGACGCTGCCCCGGCTGCAGGTGGTGTCCGAGCTGGCTGGCAGGATGCCCCGGACGGCTGAGGAGCTGCAGAAGCTGCTGCCGGGAGTGGGCAGATACACGGCGGGAGCCATCGCGTCCATCTCGTACGGGCAGGTGAGAGCCCGTATGGGCGCTCGTGGCAGAGCTGCTGTGCCCTCTGCTGCCGCCCGGACCTGCTCCCTGCGCATCCTGCTGCCCGAGCGGGCAGAGCTGAGGCTCCAGGGGCTCTGTATTGGCTCTGCCGCTCCCCTTGTCTCACCCACTGCCTGGTTCAGCCTGTGGGTTGGGGTCGAGCTCCTCCATTTCCTTCCCTCCTGTCCCTGCACCAGCTCCCTCATCACAGGGAGCAGAGCAGGGCCCAGCGCAGTAACCCCTGCCCTCCGGCTCCTCATCCCAGGCTACCGGGGTTGTGGACGGGAACGTGATCCGTGTCCTGTGCCGCCTGCGGGGCATCGGTGCCGATTCCAGCAGCCCGGCGGTCCTCGACCGGCTCTGGTGAGGGGGATGCTCCAAACACGTGAGCCCACAGAGGGAGGCCGGGGTGCTGCGGGTCGCAGTGTCTGAACAAGGGAAAGGGCCCTCCGGCCTCTGCCTCGCTGGGAGCATCTCCCTCCTCAGGCAGGAGGCAGGTGAAGGTCTCACATCCCTTCCCTGCAGAGCTCCATAACTGCCATTTCTCCTAGGGACATGGCCAATGTCCTGGTGGACAGGAGCCGCCCCGGCGACTTTAACCAAGCCCTGATGGAGCTGGGGGCTACTGTGTGCGTGCCCAAGGCCCCGCTGTGCGCGGAGTGCCCCGTGAAGCAGCACTGCCACGCAAGACGCAGGGTAGGTCGGTGCCCAGGCATGTCCTGTGCCAACCCGCAGGTGGCCGGGAGCCACCAGGAGGGCTGCAGAAGCCGCCCTGAGCCCCTTTTCAGGATGCTTCTTACCTGTCCTTGGCTGGGCGTTCTGCCGGGTGCTGCCTTGACGGGTGGCTGAGCAGGGGCCAAGGCTGGCTCATGGCTGAGCCTGTCCCTCTCCTGGTCGTGCCCCGCAGGTGGAGAAGGAGCTGGGCTTGGCCTCCCAGCGGCTGCTCGGGACCTGCCCCGCGGTGCCCGATGTGGAGGACTGCGGTAAGCGCCTTGCCTGGGGATGCCCCCGTTGCCGCTCTGCATACGGCCCCACCGCGACGTCTGCTTTGGTGTTTGCAGGCGCTGGGGGCTGTCCCTTGTGTCCCCCAGCCACGGAGCCGTGGGACAGCAGCCTGGGGGTGACCAACTTCCCACGGAAAGCGGCGAAGAAGCAGCCGCGGGCGGCGCGGGCGGCCACGTGCGTGCTGGAGCGCGGGGGCCGCCGCGGGGCCCCCCGCTACCTCATCGTGCAGAGGCCCAGCTCAGGTAGCCGGCCTGCGCCCAAGGAGGGGGCCCTTCCTGGGTGCCCAAGGGACAGAACAGCCTGGGAGCAGCAGAGCAGTGTGCCCTGCAGGCCAAAGGAGCCCGTCAGGGCGGGCACAAGGCTAGCTGTCCCCAGCAGCGCCTCTCAGCTCTTCACATCTCCGTCCCCAGGGCTCCTGGCCGGGCTCTGGGAGTTCCCCAGCCTCCCGCTGGCTCCGGGGCTGCAGGAGGAGAAGCAGAGGGAGATGCTGGCGGGGCACCTGCAGGCCTGGGGCGGGTGGCCTGTGGCAGCCGGAGGCCTGCGGTACGTCGGAGAGGTGAGAGTCCCCGTGCACGGCAGCGCAACGGGGAGGGCTCCCCTTCAGCCCTCTCCTTCCTGGGCCATGTTCTCCTGAGCCCTGGCGGAACCTGGTTCATGTGTGGGCAAGCAGAGCGAGTGGCGCTTCCCTGGCTGCCTCCTGTTGCCCATCGTCAGCCTGTTCCCCGCTGCCTGCAGGTCATCCACATCTTCTCCCACATCCACCAGACGTATGTGGTCTATTCCCTGCCTGTGGATGAGGATGTGACCCTCGACGCTGTGTTGCCCCCATCGCGCTGGGTGACGGAGGAGGAGTTCCACGCCTCGGCTGTGTCCACAGCCATGAAGAAGGTTCCGGGCCCTTTCCTCTCTTCCCCCTCTCTGCTGCTTCAGAAGTACCCCTGGCTGCTGTGGGGCCATCCTGCCTCCAAGCCCCAGATGCTGTCCAGCTCAGGGCTCTCTTGGGCTTCTTTCAGGTGCTGAAGGCTTACAGGAAGCAGCAAGGGGAGCAGAATGGTCCAGGCAAGGTGGGTATGGCTGGGGAGCTGGTGATGGAGGCACCGGGGAGCCCCTTCGTGTCGCCGCAGGCCTGGCCACAGCCTGCGGTGCTGGAGGCCCTGGTGCGTGTGGCACCCCCGTGGGGTCAGGGCAAGGCAGGACCTGGGCTGTCCCCGCCTGGGCAGAGCTTTCAGGCTGTGGGGGGTGTTTGCTGGCTGGTTTCAGCTGCGCAGGTCTCTTGCGTGGGGGTTCCTGTGGCTCTGCCCCAAAGGGGGGTCCTGGCTCAGCCCTAGCCGGTCTTGCCATAGGGCTCCAAGAGGAAGCGGGGGGCAAAGCCGGGGGGCGCAGCTGGCACGCAGCTCTCCCTCCGGGCCTTCCTGCGGCCCCCGAGCCCCCAGTGACGGCTCCTTTGGCCGCTGGCACCACGCGGGACTCGCGCTGCGGTGAGTCCTGCCCAGGGCGTGGGCGTGGGGCTGGCATCTCCCACACGGACCTGGAGGAGGGGGCCGAGCCCACGGCGGGCTCCTGCTCCTGCATCCAGCCCCAGGGCCATTGCTGTGGACCCCTGGCTGGACTCCCCTCCCCACGGGCCAGCCCCGTGGTCCTGAGGACGGCGCCATCCAGACCAGGCTCTCTTCCCACCTGGCTCCACAGAGTGCCTGCGCAGACCGAGCACGGCGGTGCCTGGCCTGGGTTCTCCAGCCCGCTGTGGCCACCGCTCCTGGCGCTGCTGGGGACAGGAGCATGGGTCTCCCTGGTGCTGGGGAGGGAGCTGCTGCTTCCACCGCTGCCCCTTCTCCTCCGGGAGCTGCTGAAGGGTCTGAGCACTTGTCTGCAACCCGGCCAGCAGCGAGTGATGCTGCCGTGTCCATCACGGGCTCCAGAGGCTGCCTTTTATACTTGTTTTTAGTGAATCTGAACCACAGACTTTCTAATAAATCTGAAGCTTTTATCAGTCACCTTCTACCTTTTCACTAGGCTGGGAAGACAGGGACCCTCCCTCACCCTGTCTGCAGCTTTCATCAGATGGTAGGTGGGACACACGGGGCTGGGCTGGGAAAAGTGGGCTTTCTTTGGCCAGTGCCCTCTTGGATAAACAGCCCTGGGCCTGTGCACCTCTTTGCAGAAAGGTACCTACAGCTCTACCTGACACCCCGTGCCTGCTAAACAGGAGCAGAAAAGCCAAAGCACTGTTTGAAGGTTGAATCTTTAATTAATGGAGTGGCAATCCCTGTACCGGAGCTGATGCTGCTGCAGGCCATAACCCCCGTGTGGCTGTAGTGTCCCCTCTGCTTCCTTCCTCCAGCAGCCCCTCATCCCTGGGGCTTCATCCCCGCCCATCCTGCAGCAGACCTGGCCATGCAGCAGCCACAAGTCTGCTCAGCTTGAGTTTAAATTGTCAGAAACATCTGCACAAGAAGTTGATAAATCACTGGCCAAGGGCATCCACGCAGGGGAGGAATCGATCCCCATCCTCAGCTCCTCAAAGCTCAGCTCAGCCTGACCCCAGCTTTACTTTGGTTTGGAGTGGGGACTCCCCAAAGTCCCTGCCGCCCTCGGCTGTGCCGCAGCTGCGTGCGGGTGCCTGCGGTGGCGTCCCAGGCCCCGCGGGGACGGGAGGAGGCTGCTGGAGGTGCTGCTGCTGGGCCATGTGGAGCTGCACAGCTTTCCACAGCGCCCGTATGTTGGCTTCTCCAAAGCCCGGGGCGCCCCGCCGCTCAATGAGCTCCAGGAAGAAGGTCTCCTGGGGGAAGATGGGGCGAGTGAAGATCTGCATCAGATATTTCTTCTGAAAAGCAGGCTCGGAGGCGTCAGCAGCCAGACAGCCCTTCTCACCATCCCTGGGCACTGCGGCATCCAGCAGGATGCCCAGCTCTGCCAGCACACGGGGGTCTTCCCCGGCCCCCCGCATCTCATCCTTTTTGTCCTCCTGGTTGTAGTAGGTGGCAGGGGGCATGAAGAACTGCACGCCGGCCTGCTTCAAGGCTCTGGTCGTGTTGACGATGTCCGGGGTGTAGAGGCCCACGTGCTGGATCCCGGCCCCCCGGTGCTGCTCCAGGAAGGTGTCGACTTGGTTTGCGCCGTCCTCCGAGAGGGACTCGGCGAGGATGAGTTTGCAGCTGTGGGAGGGCAGGGCCGGGGTGCCCTTGGCGCTCTTCAGTGCCAGGAGGAGCATGCCGACCCCCTGCCCGCTGATGGTGTACCCCTCGGACACGCTCTCCCGCGGGTTCAGCTGGAAGCGCTGGAAACCGAAGCACCGCTGGTACCAGTCCAGAGCTGCCCTGGCTCTGCCCCGGGAGCAGACACACGTGATGTGATCGAAGTGGGTGATTTTAACCCCGTCCCCACCAGCTGGCGGGGCTCCTGGGACGGCCTGGAAGCCGGGCAGGAAGGGTCCCCGGTAGCGCGACCGATCCAGCAGGGTATGGCTGATGTTGCCCACGACGGAGCTCGCCACGCCGTAGGTGACAGAGCCGCCATCGTCCCCCACTTCAGTGGGGGGCACCCTGAGGGAGCACCCCCGTCTGCGCAGCTGCTCGCAGAGCCCGGGGACGTCGTCCACCTCGAAGCAGATGTTGGAGGCCGTGCCCAAGGCCGGCTGCGGGTCCACGTCGTAGAGGAAGTCGCCAGCGGAGCCGGGCGCCAGGCGCTCGTTGACCACGAAGACGGCGGCGCCGCGGCGCAGGGCCAGCTGCCGCACGCGCGGTGTCTCCCGCACGGCGAAGGGCTGGAAGCGAAAGGCGGCGGCCAGCTCCTGCGCCCAGGCCTGCCCGTGGGGCAGGTGGAGGGAGACGTAGCCCACGCGGTTGAGCGAGGCCGCCATGGTGCCCTTGCTGCGGGTGCCCTGTGGGGAGGACATGCGGCCCTCAGAGCGCAGCCCGCGCGGGGCTTGCCGCTCACGAGGGAGTAGCTGTTCCCCTGTCCTCGCGCTGATCCACCAGAGCTACGCTGCGGGAGACTCCGTGTTTGTGTGTCCATGCATGTGTGTGTGTGTATATCTATATATGGATGCACACACACATGTTTATGCGTATGTATGTGCACACACATGAGTCTGCACTTCTCAAGCATACGTATTTCTAAATAAAAAGCCATTAGTGCAATGGGAAGGGTAGGAACTTCTCTCTCTCTTCTGAGGGCACCTGCTTTGGGGACTAGCTGCAAGGCACTGCTCAAGGACACTGAACCATCCAGCCCCTGATTGGGGCTCAGCAGCCACCCTGCGCCACAGCCCCACATCCTGCCCCACACCAGCATGGGCTGGTGGAGGAGGAAAGCCCCAAGTCCTGGTCACAGCTGAGGGAGACTCTCCTGGAGTCACGCGTCCCTCAAGGGCACCACAGCAAGGACTGTAACAGGAATGTGTAACCACGATGTATATAAGGGCAAGGGTCGGTGGGCGGTGGGGCAGCTGGTGCCAGCCGTGGGGCTGGTGGCCGTGGAGGCCACGTGGGTGTCGCTGCAGCCCCGCGCTGCTGGCGCCGTGGGGCAGCAGAGGCCCCACACGCTGCTGCTGCAGGAGCCCGGCAGGCCCTGAGCCGTGACCTTGCCCTAGAGACACGGAGAGGTGTATGGGGAGCAACGCTGGGCCCCCCCGCTTCCCCAAACAGGGTCCTTGACAGGGATAAGTGCCTGCCCAACAGCATTATTAGCATCCAAGGGCATCTAGCGGCGCCCCCCGTTCCCACACGAGCGACCTCGGCTGGACCCCTTGGATGTGCTTTGGGGTGGGGGTGCGGGAAATCTGTTTAGATATTGCCTCCCCACACACACACACACAAAGAAAAGGGGGGCCCTGCAGAGCTTTCTTGCCCCCCTGCGGGGCTCGGCCTGGCTGGAGGAGGCCAAGGAGCCCCCCGCGATGGAGAGGGCTGCAGCATGTCCGAGCACCCTGCCTGGCGCGGGGAGGGTTGGGGGGCTGCCCCAAGTGTCCCCCCCGCAAACCCCATGGCAAAGGGGCCTTGCCGGGGCTGGCAAAAGAAAGGAAAAGAGAGAAAAGTCCCGCGGGGCTCGTTCCCGCAGCCCCCACGGCCGCCCCCGCGGAGCCGCCGTGCGGGCTCGCCCCGCGCTGCGGCCTCACCTGAGCGCGCACGTGGCCCCACGCGTGTCCGGCGCGGGGCTGCCGCGGAAGCGAGGGCCGCTCGGGAGCCGCAGCGCCGGCCCCGCCTCGGGGCCGCCCCGCAGCCGCTCGCTCCTCCCCGGCTGCCCCGGCGCGGGAAGGGGGCGGCGAAGCGGCGGGCGGGCGGCCGAGCAGGGGCAGGGGGCTGCGGAGCAGCGGGGATTCCTGCTCCGGGGGCTGCACGGAGGCCGGGCCCGGCGCGGGGGAGCTGCCTGCCGGGCGCTGCTGCCGCGTTGCACCGCGCCCAAGGCCGTGGCTGCACTGCGGGGTGACACCCATGGGCGCCTCTGCCGGCCGCGTGGGGGGCAGCACGGGGAGGACCAGGGTGCTGCTCCCCGCTGAGCATCAGGGCTGTTCCAGTGCCCGTGGGATCCCCGGGACATGGAGGGGATGGCAGATGTTTGCTGGCTGCTCCCTGGAGGGGGCCCGGGATCCACAAGGTCCAAGCTGACTTTGCCCAGCTGCATCTGCCCCCATTCCCAATCCGCACTCTCCCCATGGCTCCCTGTCCTTGCAGGCATCTCAGCATCCCTCCAGACCCCCAAGCGGTGACTCCCCCTCACCCACCGCTTTTGTGCCTTCCCCTCCTTGTCCTGGGGGGACACTCCCCTCCAGCAGCCCGTGGCCCAGGGCTGTGTCACCACCCGGCTGTGTTTACACCGACTGCCCTTCCTGGCTTATCATGTTCCTGTGCTGATCCCAGGTGCGATAAACCTTGTGGCCATGTCAGCACGCGGCTGACACGGTGAGTGGGCGCCTGTTTGCACTGGGGCAGGGGCCGTCCGCCGGCTCCCTGATGTCCCAAGGAGCCACGGCGGCTCTTGCCAATGCATGAGGAAGGATCCACTTCACACGAAAGGGAGAAGCAGCAATATGGGTTTTTTTTTTGAGGGAGGCAGCGATTGAACAGAGTTTACTCATAAAGAGGACAGTGATTTGACAGGGGTCAGAGGGGCAACTTAGCAAAGTTTCCTGGAGTTCTGCAAAGTTGCAGCAGGCTCTGAGTCACTTACTGAGGATTTGTCTCTGGTGAAGAATCTCTGGACCTTGGGGCAGCTTGAGGGGTGCCCCTGCTCAAGAGGAGGTTCTGCCGTGCAGCCGCTGCCCTGCAGGAGAGCCCGAGGAGCTCTGGGCTGCGCCTGTTTATGGAGGGAAGGTGATTGACTCGTAGGCATATTTGCCTCCTAGATGGGTTTTATTTGGTGCATGCTCCATTAGGCCCTGCCTATGGGCTCTTTGCAGAGACGTGAGGAAGGGGAGGAAGAAGAGCACATCGTTTGGGAGGTGGGGAAGAGGGCAGAGCAGCAGCCCTGTGCAATCATGGACCTTCTTTGTCACCGTGGAGCCATGTGGGTCATTGCCATAGACTAGTTGTGGGCTTATCACACAGTGGGAAGATTAAGGGGCTCTCCTGGCTTGTGGGGCAAACCACAACCATAGAGCACTCCTGGTGCAATGGAACTGCAAGACCTTCTGGACTGAGTCCTATACGGCAGAATCATTCCAGCCTGGGGACAGGGGTAGGAATCTATTTAATCTCTTTTGCCCAACAGCAGGTTTAAAGGCTCCCAGCAGCATGGCCAGGCACCCTGCGAGTGACACTGCATCCCCCTGGCACGGCATGGCCTCGGATATGGCAGCAGGACCCTGAAGCCACGTGGCACCCTGGGGACAGTGCCTGCCTTGTTGCCATTCCCCGGCAGGCGGTGGCGGCCGGGGAGCCGTCCCCAGCTCCGGATGGGCTCTTCCCCTCCCTCCTGGGTGGAGGGGGCCGGGCCAGGAGATAAAAGAGGGGACAAGGGCCAGCTGGGCATTGCGGACAGCAGCCGGGCCTGGGAGCTGAGGTTTGGCCCCAGGACAGGGCGGACAGTAGCTCCGGCGGCAGGAACGGTACCCAGGGCTCGATCCCGCGTGGCAGGGAGGGAAGAGGGATGGGAATGGGGACCCTCCCCCCAGACCAGGCAGCCCCTTGCCCCTTCCTCACTGGCCCAGATCAGCCCCCTAATTGTCTCTCCCTATCTTCCACATGCCCATTAAGTCTGCTGGGTCCTGGAGGGATGGGACATATCTGGATGTGGGAAGGATTCGGGAGGAAAGAGGCATAGGACAAGTATGGATGGGTTGAAAGGCTCATGCAGCCCCCTAAAGCTTTTATTGGACACTGGGCACTTCAAGGTGGCCTGAAGGTTAAAGTGTCTGTGTCCGAGTGACTTCTCAGCCAAAGCTGAGCTGGCAGGGCCTGTGTCCGTGCCTGGCCCTGGGGCAAGTCGAGCCATGGGGTGGGGTTGGCTCCCAAGGGTGGAAGGGTTGAGAAGGTCGTGGGCAAAACAGGACCTTCTCCCACAGTCATGCAGCACCGTCTGTCCATCCTGCCACCAGTGTTGATGGTGAATGCACTGTTGGGGAGATATGGGCGAGCAAGGGGCAGAAAGGAGGGTCAGGGTGTCTGGCAAAGGTCCTTCCTGCTTAGGGCAGGTGCGGGATGGCGAGAGCACTGTTGTCCCTGCGCTCATGCCCTTTGCACCGCGGTGGGGACTTTACCCGGGCAGCGGGAAACCGAGGCACCGTGGCTGCCGCGGGCGCCTGGCGAGACGAGGGGCCCAGGGCCGGGTGACCAGGAATCCTGTCCCCCAAACCACACCGTTCAGTCCCGTTCCCAGAGGAACGAGGTCCCGTCCCGCGGCCCCCCCTCCACAGCAGGTGTCCTGGCTCCCGGGGCCGTGCCGGGCCCCACAACACTGCCCGCCATTCAGGCCCACGCTGGGCTCGCGCAGGAATCAAAGCGGCTCTTTGTGCCCCCGGCGCTGGCTGCACAAGCTGCCGTTTCACTGCGGCACCGCTGGGCGCTTCTTGCCAGGACGGCAGCAGCCGGGGTGCCAGGTGGGGAAGGCGCCAGGCTTTGGGGTACCAGTGCCCTTGGCATTGCCATCAGCAGGAAAGGACGCTGGGGCCTTAATACCCTGCTTTCCTCTTCGTCTTCCTCCCCAGGGCTGGGATGGGGCCGGCGGTGCTGGCCCTGGCCGCCTGGCTGGCGGCGGCAGTGGCGGCCGAGGGGGCGTCCAACAGCAGCCGGATCTGCCAGGCGGCCCCGGCGTGGAGCGTCAATGGCTCCAGCCCCATGGCGGGGGCGGCGGGGCAGGTGACGGTGGTGGCCTTGCTCAAGGCCAGCTGACACTTCTGCCTGAGGCAGGCCCGCAGGTGAGCCCCGCTGCCGTGCCCACGGGTCACCCCACACGCCATGGCGGGTCTGGCCTGGTGGCAAGGCCCCCCGTGTGGCCCCCGGTCTCCCTCAGGCGCCATCTCTCCCCCTGCAGCCTTGGGGACTTGCGAGAGAAGCTGTCGCGGCAGGGCATGGCCGACGTGCACTACATGATCGTCAACGAGAAGGCGCCGCTGTCCCGGGCCATGTTTGGGGAGCTGGCGCGCCAGGCCCCCCCCGGCATCCCCGTGTACCAGCAGGAGCCCCGGGACCCCGACGTGTGGCAGGTCCTGGAGGGTGACAAGGACGACTTCCTCGTCTACGATCGGTGAGCACTGCCGCCGCACCGGGATGGCCAGGAGTTGGGGTGGCATTGGTGGTCATGGGGGTCGCCTGGGGTCCCCCCATCTTTGCTTGGGGCCAGGACACGTGGTTCCACTCCTGGTGGGCACCCCCAACCCCGCGTGGTCCACAGCGGTGGGTTGGCCATGGATGCAAACCGCACCTTGTGTGCCTCAGTTTGCCCAGCCGCGGGACCGCGCTCGTGTTTTGCTGTGCGTGCCAAAAGAGCCGCCTGCGGGCAGGGTTAGGGCTTTGTGCGGGCTGGCTTGGCGCGGGAATGGGCAGGAGTCAGCCAAGGGCTGTGAGGAGACCAGGTTGCTGGTGAGTCACTTTCCAGCCCAGGTGAAGTGTCTTAGTGCCCGTCGCTGTGCTGGGGGCTCAATGGGAATCCTCCCTCGCATGGTATTCAGCTCAGCCCTTGCATTTCCCCTCAGCTGTGCTCGCCTGGCCTTCCACATCCAGCTGCCCTACAGCTTCCTGCACTTCCCCTACGTTGAGTCAGCCATCCGCTTCACCTACAGCAAGGACTACTGCGGCAACTGCTCCTTCTACCCCAACAGCACCCAGGAGGTAGGAAGCAGCGTACGGTGGAGCTTGGGTGCTTGCCAGACCCTGGCTTTTCTCTTGAGCTGGTCTCCCCTGGTTTCTGGTTGACCCCATGGGATCTCAGTATCCCAGCAGGGCCCTAAGGCAGTTCCTCCCTGCATGCAGCCTGTGCAACTTAAATCCAGTGTGTGACCTTTCATGGAAAGCTGCCTTGGTATTGGAGGCCTGGAAGGTGGCTAGAACCAGGCTAACCAATGAGGTTCCTCAGCAAAGCTCTTAAAGGCAGCTGAGGTGTAAGAGAGGAGGAGGTTGCATGGTTAAAAGTCAATTAAAAGATGTGAAACAGGGTAGCAGTAAGTGGATGGTTCTTGTATTTGCACAGAGGCTGTTCCAGGACCAGGGCTGCTTCAGCAGCAGCTGAGGAAAAAGGACTGCTTCAAGGAGCAGTGCCTGAGGATCCTGGGTTATTGAGGACTGTATAAATGAAAGTCAACTGCAAGGAGCTGCAGAAGGACCTGAGTACTCAGTGAATAAGTGCAGGTGAATTTCAGCATGGATAAATGAAAAGCAGTGCACAACAAACGAAACAATCCTTCGTCTACCTTCCTCTAGGGGGTGGGCTTCATTAATAACCACACTCAGCCGTGGATCTTAGAGCTCCAGGGATTAATATCAGAAACTCAGCGTACAAATACCAACCTCCTCCACCAAAGTGAGCATTAGAAATGGAATGGAGAACAAAACACTGTTCGGCCTTTGTGTAAACCCATGTTGCACTGCATCTTCAAGCCTGTGAAGCCCTCTTGCTCGTGGTAGGGCTGGAAAAGGTGGAAAGTGGTGAAAGCCCTAGAATAAGGGTAGCTAAACACATCAGGGTTTTGCAGGGTCAGAAGAACTGAAAAGGTCATAGAAGAAGCGTAAAGCAAGCAGCCTGGAAAAGGAGACTAGGGTCATTGTCTCTTCTGTTATAAAGAATGTAATGGACCCAGCTGTGGCAAGCTCAGGGCGAAGGAAAACATAGAGCTCCCAGCTCTGAGCTCTGCAGGTGTTTAGACTCTTCCTAGAAGAAAATTCCATCTAGGACTCTTAAATGCAAAGGCTCTTTTCTGGCACAGGAATTCCCAGGACCGCAGTCAGCTTGAGCCAAGGGATGTATATAAAGAGGTTTGTCCTCTGCGTGCTCTGATCTCTTCTGTCCTCTGTGTGTACTGTGTTTTGGCTAGAGCAGCTTTTCTCTAACTTATGCAGATTTCCTTATGACTGATTCGATTCTGTTTTCACCCCAGCACATGAGTGCTCTTGCAAGGTCACTGCAGGGCAGTGTGTGCATTCCTACAGCGCTCCAACCTTTGTGTTACTTTCCCCAGGCTAACACCACCATGGAGGTCCCTGCAAATCCAACCCTGCTTCCTGAACAGGAGGAGAAGGAGACAAAGCTCCCCATTCACCAGCACAACCCTCTCCATCCTCAGCACCATGTGGTCAGCAGTGAAAAAGCTTCAGACCCAAGTGGGGACCACCACTCTGCTGCCCATGGTCACCACCACCACAGAGGCCACAGCAAGCCTGATCCCAAGGGGCAAGAGCAGGAGCAACATGACCACTAGGCTGGGCTGGCCTGCCTTGCTGAACCCAGTGCTGTGCAAACCATGCCACCTACTTCCCAGAGACATGGAAGGATTTGTTGGTTCCTCAGGCTGCCAGTCACCAGAAGTTGATTTAATAACTCCCTTCAGCATCCCTCATGTAGGTCATATTCACACCCTGTGACGAAATCCCCCTCAGTCACGAGAAGATGCTGTCCCTTCTGCCTTAGGGCTCAGTTCTGACTCTTCCTCTGCTGACACCTGCCTTTCCATGCTCAATGAAGCCTGTGGTGAAAACTGGGACCTTCCTGGTCACTGCAGGATGACACTGCATGGAGCAGCAGAGCAGGTGTGGAGGAGACAGAACTGGCATGTGGGCTGTTCTGGCCAACAGAGCCTCTACCCATCCTGGCATCCTTGGACATCTTGGCTGGAATGCAAAAGGAGAAGCAGGATGTGCCTCATAAGACATGAGCCTAGAGGCCAGCGCGTTAGGAGAGGTGCTGAGGGGAGGTCAACACTTCTGATGGTCCAAATTCTGTACCCCCAAAGCTGTCACATCCTGGGGACCTCCATGCCTTGCACACAGGTATGTGCAGTGGTGATGGGTGGCCGCAAGATGGTGGCCTTGCCCCCTCTCAGAAACCCGGGGGCTGTGTTCAGGACCCATAAACCTGGGAGGATGTAGGTGAAAAGGGGAGGCAGCCTGAGGGGATTGTGAATACTGAGATGGTCAATAAAACTCTGTGGAGTGAATCCTGCTCAGCCTAGCCTCTGATGGTGCCTCTTTCCCAGAGGGAGGGGGGTCTTACTGAACCCTGGCTTGGGGCACAGCAGGAAAGTCCTGGGTGTCTCTCTCAGCATGGAGGGATTTGAGCAACATGTGAACTCCACAAAGCAGCAGCCAGGGAGGAGATTTTCTTTCCCCTGTGGATGGAATTGGAGGTAAGCAGGAAGGAGACAGAAGAAACACTCATCTTTTCATGCCTGCCCCTTACTTTCTGAACTGGGAAAAGCGGAGTTTGAAGCCAGGGGTTAACATTTGTGAGGGCAGAGAATTAATCCTGCCCTATCTAGGGGAAATTTGTCTGGGCACCTGGATGCCTGGCTTGTAGATATGATATGGGGCTACTGGGCTGTGGGGTGAAGTGGGCTCTGGGAACAGAGATCCTGCTGGGTTAGAGCTGGGACTAGAGGCGCAGCGGGGATGTGGGGAGAAGAAAGAAGGAACAGAGATTGAAAGGGGAGGTTGAAGATATCTAGCACTAGTGAGGGTTGTGGGTGAGCCTGACACCTTAAATAGCAACTAGCACCTGCTATTTGGTAGGGAGAAAAAAGGAGATGATTTTTTTTCTGCTCAGTTTTATTTGGGTCTAGTCTCTAATGCTTATCCCATTGCAGACTCTGAGCTGCATTTCTGCCCTATGTCCTGGTGGGCTGCCCAACAGTGATGGTCCCAATGGGGATGAGGACCTTGCAGGTGGATCTTTCCCACCAGCCCGGTGGAGCCGGTCCCACTTTCACGTGGGGCACGGACTGTGCCAAAAGCTGCGTGTGCGAGGTCCTGCAGAGACCCTGATCTCCCCCCTCTCACTCCTTTCCTCCTCCCCCTTCCTCCTCTACCTGCTCTCAGAAGCCCCCAAGGGCACCTCTGTCTGCTGCTCTCGCCATCAATATCCAGGTTATCTTTTTCTTCTGGCAGCTGCTGTAATTGAAACAAAGCAGGCTGGGCCTCACGGGCTCCACTCCTCTTGCTTATTTTGCTGGGGCTGCTGAGACAACTAATTCATTTTTATCGATGCGTGGCTGGCCTCTTTTTCCACCAGCTCCAGGCAGGGCCCTCTGCACCACGGGTGGTGGGAACGGTGCGTATCCCCACAATGTGCTGCTGGGTGCTCTTGTGAGCCAGTCCCTGGCCTTCAGCTTGCAGAGGTGAATGCTGGTGAATGGGAAGAGCTGAACATGTCCCTGAGTCTGCAGAGCAGCCTAGCTTGGGGTCACAGAGGTTACAACGATCAGATCCTGCTCCCTTGGTGCCTGGGAAGGTGCTGCTTGTCCTGCTGTCCTAGTACCGTCTCGAGAAGCCCCTTTGAAATGCCCCTGCTCAGAAAGCAGCAGGATGCACTGGCTTCAAAAAAAGCAACCTTCAGAGCCAGTGTTGCAGGGACCCTGGGGAACCTGGACCCTGGGACCCATCAGCACACGGATGTCTCCTGTGGGAACGCAGCCCTGCACAGATGCAGCATGTGCCTGCTGGGACATGTGTGAGGAAACACAGGTGTGCATGAGTCAAGGACACAGGTAATCAAGCCCCTTGGCTTAGGTGTACAAAGAACATGGGGACCTTCATGTTCCTGTGTCAGTAACCAGGGATATGTAACACGTAGTTAAATTCTGATGAATGAGTATATCAAGGTGGTATCATTAAGGCTATTCTCTGGATTTATAAATACATTTATCACTCCCTGTTTAATAATTAAATTACTCAATCACTGCCAAAAGTATTTTATATGGCCTGGAACCATCCTGGCTTGGGTTGTGATCTTCCCAGAAGAATGAAGACCCTTGGGCAACACCAAGAGATTGCTGGGTCCCAGTGATGTGGCAGACACATCTGCAAGCACCAAGCCCTCCTTGCAGTGCAGATGCATGACCTATGGCCATGTTACTTTTGTCTTAAAGCTCTTCTGTCCAGAGCTATGGAGCCACTTTAGCTGCTCTTTATGCTGCCGGTACAGGAGGAAAATCTCTGCAGTCCTCAGCTGGTCTTATGACTTCCTTTGCAAAGCTTTCCATATTCAGGCGCAGACCTAAGTCCTGGCTTGGTCTAACCAGCTTCTCAGGGTGCTGCCCAGCCTCTCCTGCAGTGCTGGGCACTGCTGCTGTGCTGCAGGGAGGTCACCTTGTGCCACTGCCAGGTGAGAGCAGAGGAGTCCTGCCTGACCAATGTGCTGTTTGGCTGCCCCAGCTCTTTTGGGGCATTACCCTGGGCAGCACCAGCTGATGTGCAGGGCCAGTGAGGGCTGAATTCAAACCCTCTGCCTTATGCCATGCAAGCCTTGCCTGCCTCAGTTTCCCTGCTGACAAAATAGGGTGAGGAGAGTAGTGCTCTATGAGACTGTGCTCCCTACGAAGCCTGGGCTGTCTCTGAAATCCCAAAGCCCAGAAGGATTCGGGTATCATTTCTTCATGTGTTTCACTTTCCATACAGCAGCAGCCCTGAGCCCGCGGTAGGGAGAGCAGCGAGCTGTGAGCAGCACGTCCCACGCAGCAAAGCAACGGCAAGGCTCTGCCTAGAGCACAGCGTGGCATCTCCATCCTCGCCAAGAAGTTTTGGATCTTGAGCATTTCAGGCCACTTGACCTCCTTTGGGGCAGAGAAGGTAGGAGAGGCATCATGGGTTCTCTTTTCTAGTCCCAGATGTGGTGGCAGCTCTGTTCATTACTAGCTCTCCTGTACTGCAGACCAGCTCTATGCTGTCTCCCAGAGCAACTTCAGCAAAGTTGCTGAATTGCAGTAGGGTTTTGTTGTTGTTGTTGTTTTTCCCCTTCTTTCTTAAGCAGCTGCTAGTTTCTCGATGAGCTTCATTCCCCTGGTGTGGAAAGCGAAATGGGAAGACTTGCTATGCGTTTGATATTGAAATGCAGCTCTGAGTGGCAAAGCACTCCCGATCTTGCTTAATAGGCGCTCCCACCAGTGTGGCCGCGGCGGGTGGAAACCTTCCAGGGACTGCAGCGGCTGTGGATATGCCAGAGGAGCCGGCCAGCGGTGAGAGGTGCAGATTGGAAGGAGGTTGATGATTTTTATGACTTTTATCTCCTTTTTTTTTTTTTTTTTTCTTTTCATTCAGTGCCAAGTGCTTCCTCAGCCTTTTTGTTAAAGTCCGCATCCTCACCCTTGCAGGGCTCCTCAAGCTGGGAAGCTGCTGAGCAGGGTGGTAAGGTGATGGGTGCCTGGAGAAGGGGACAGGGCTGCTCTGGGTCTCACTGGAAGACCCTGTGGGCACACAGGGCTGCTTCAATGCAAAACTTCTGCATGGAGAGCACACGGAGATGTTGCCCTGCTGCAGCCTGTGACCTGCAGGCTGCTGTGGGGCCAGCCAGGCTGGAGGGCACAGCAGTGGCTCCAGCGGAGCGGTGGGAATGTCGGAGCAACTCTGCATGTCTGCACTGTGGCCACGGTTTGAGTGAGGCCGGTCAGTGCGAAGCTCTATGTTATCATCACCAGGGACTGCACCACTGGCCAGCAGAACCTCTTGTTCCTGGTGGCTGCCCAGGACATTCAATCACGTCCCGCTGCCCCAGACAGCCCAGGCTGTGGTGCAACTCTCCTGGGCAAGGCGATTTCAGTTAAAAAGAAGGATGAAAGATTTATAAAGGGAGAGAAACGATTTGCCATCCAGAGTTGTGCAAGGCTGAGAACGAGTATCTGACTGTAAATCCACATGGATCAAGGAGGGAATGAGGATGAAGACAGAGGCTTCGTTAGAGAACCCTGGGCCTGGAAGAGCAGTGTCCTGAGCCATCATTGCAATACGGTGGGAGAGAAGGACACTGTGCTGCCGGGATGCCCCACGGTACCAGCTCTGCACCAGCATGGATGAGCAGCAGGGACCCCAGTGCTGCATCAAACGCAGCCGCTGCCTTTGCCCCGCGCGCTGCTGCCGCCAAGGCCACGCGGGTCCTCTCGGGGGACGAGGAACAGCCAGTCCTAATGTCAACAGAGGCCTCTTGTGCAGCGACGCTGTGTCAAGAAGAGGAATGGGTCCCTCCTCCTCCACCCATTCATCTGGCAGCCGCGGCTGGCGCGCGGCCAAGCCGGGCTGCTTTGGAAACATTTCATTGAGGAGGCAGCTGAGCCTAGGAAAACAGAATGAAAATATACAGAGATCACTGTTGTTAGGCAAAATAAATGCAGGCGGCTGCGTTTGTGCCCTCAAGTCCAGCTCAGCCTGGACGCTCCCGCCTGTGCGGGAGGAGCAGGAATGTTGCTGCCCAGGATGGCAGCCGTGTATTTCCATCACAGAGGGGGAGCCAGGGAAGGAGAGCTGGAGACCTTGGCCCTGGCTTTTGTCTAGCTTGCTGACTCCTGGTGACCAGATTCAGGCTTGTCCTGCTGCAGGATCTACTATGGAGATGGGACAGAGTGGAGAAAACAGCCGCAGAAATAACCTGATTCTGGTGACCGGCGTTTCCAGCTTAGACACTAAGCTGGACACCAGTGCAGGTGGGGCTGACAGAGGGTATCTGATATGGCCATGGCCATCACTATCTCCCTAAAATAGTCCAGTGAGAGTAGACAAAGTCCCAGGATGGCATCCTGGGACAGAGGCACCCATCACACACAGATTTGTGGTACAGATTAGGTGCTCAAAACTGAGCTGGGTCCAGAGTTCCCCACAATATTGACCTGCTATGTCCTTCTCTCTCACTTAGAGATGTTTAGGCTCAATGTGAGGGCCTGGCAGGGCTGGTTTGGGTGTCAGGACCCGGAACTTGGGGTGCTTCACACCCTGGAGTGGCATCAGGAAAACCAGCATGAATCGTCTATGTTGGAATAAGAAAGTCAGGCACTAATTTAAAAATGTTGTGAGGAGGGCACTAGGTGGAGAGATTACATTTTACACCACTGTCGTTGCCTGCCTCTTCAAGCAAATCGTTGGAGG